GTGACGATCAAAATTCTCGAAGTGAGGCTTCAACAGTACGAGAACCAAGAACTTCTAGATGTTCAAACTGGATTTAGGAAAGGCAGAGGAACCAGAGATCAAATTGCCAACATGTATAGGATCATCAAAGAAGCAAGAGAGTTCCAGAAAAAACATCTGTTTTATTGACTATGCCAAAGCCTTTGTGTGGATCACAACAAACTGGAAAATTCTTCAAGAGATGGCAAAACCAGACCACCTGACCTGCCTCCAGAGAAATCTGTATGCAGGTCAAGAAGCAAGAGTTAGAACTGGACATGGAACAACAGACTGGTTCCAAATAGGAAAAGGAGTACGTCAAGGCTGTATATTGTCACCGTGCTTATTTAACTTATATGCAGAGTACATCATGAGGAATGCCAAACTGGATGAAGCACAAGTTGGAATCAAGATTGCTGGGAGAAATATCAATAATCTCAAATACGCAGATGACACCATCCTTCTGGCAGAAAGGGAAGAGGAACTGAGGAACCTCTTGATGAAAGTGAGAGAGGAGAGTGAAAATTTCGCTTAAAACTCAACATTCAAAAAACTAAGATCATGGCATCCAGTCCCATCACTTCATGGCAAATAGATGGGGAAACAATGGAAAGAGTGACAGACTTTATTTTCTTGGGCTCCAAAATCACTGCAGATGGTGACTGCAGCCATGAAATTAAAAGAGGCTTGCTCTTTGGAAGAAAAGTTATGACCAACCTAGACAGCATATGAAAAAGCAGAGACATTACTTTGCCAACAAAGGTCCATCTAGTCAAAGCTAAGGTTTTTCTAGGAGTCATGTATGGCTATGAGAGTTGAACTATAAAGAAAGCTAAGCGCCAAAGAACTGATGCTTTTGAACTGTGGTGTTGGAGAAGATTCTTGCGAGTCCCTTGGACTGCAAGGAGATCAAACCAGCCAATCCTAAAGGAAATCAGTCCTGAATATTCATTGGAAGGACTGAGGCTGAAGCTGAAACTCCAATACTTTGGCCACCTGATGTGAAGAACTGACTCACTGGAAAAGACCCTGATGCTGGGAAGGATTGAAGACAGGAGAAGGGGACCACAGAGAATGAGATGGTTGGATGGCATCAACAATTCAATGGACATGAGTTTGAGCAAGCTCCAGGAATTGTGATGACAGGGAAGCCTGGCATGCTGTAGTCCACGGGGTTGCAAAGAGTCAACACGGCTGAGGGACTGAACTGAAGGTGGTTCAACACACAAAAATCAATCACTGTAATACATGACACTAATGAAAAGAAAGGTCGTGATCATCTCAGTTGATGCAGAAAAAGCATCTGACAAAACCCAATATCCTTTCAAGACAGAAATACTCAACAAACAAGGCATAAATACAAACTTCCTCAATCTGAAAAAGTGTTTATGAAAAATTCACAACTAATGTCATGCTTAACTGTGAAAGAGTGAAGTCTCCCTGAGATCAGGAAAAAGACAAGAATGCCTACTTATCACTATTTCATCTCTTCAACTTTGTACTGGAAATTCTAGCCAGAGCAATTGGGCAAGAAAGAGAAATAAAAGGCATCCAAATTGAGAAGGAAGTAAAACTATCTGCAATCACAAATAATATACACACATACAGAAAATCCTAAAGAATACACACACACACACACACACACACACACACACACAATTAAGAGTAAAAAAAAGAAGAGTAAATAAATTTAGCAAAGTTGCAGGGCTCAAGGACAATACACAAAATTCAGTTTATTTTTTTTTCCAGTTTATTTTTATACATACAATTTTTTTATTTTCCTTACTTTAAAAAAATTTTAATTGGCAGATAATTCATTTACAATACTGCGTTGGTTTCTGCCAGACATCAACATGAATCAGCCATAGGTACACATACGTCCCTCTGAGCTTCCCTCCCACCCCACCCCACCCCAACCCTCTAGGTTGCCACAGAGTACCTGATTTGAGTCCCTGCTCAGACAGCAAATTTCCACTAGCCATCTCTTTTACATATGGTAATTTATACGTTTCCGTGCTACTCTGTTTGCCCCACCCTTTCCTTCCCACACTGCATCAAGTCTGTTCTCTCTGTCTGGGTCTTCACTGTGTGTGTTTACGTGGTCAGTTGCTCATGTCTGACTGTTTTGACCGTTTGGACTGTAGCCCTCTGCCATGGGATTTTCCAGACAAGAATACTGGAGTGGGTTTCCATTTCATTCTCCAGGGTATACATACAATTTGGACATAAATTTTGATGCCTAGGTTTGTTTGGTTTATTTTATCCCCCACCCCCACCCCACATCAAGCAATTCTCTGACATCAGCTAAGTGTCCTATACAACTCAATTCTGACACTACCTACCAGGAGACAGCTTCAGATTCCACAAGCTGGGGCCGCAAAACAAAGGTCTCCTGCTCCTGATCACTTCCTAACTCAAAGGTCTCCTGCTCCTGATCACCTCCTAACTCAACAACCTTGGTTCCCTACTGCCTGTGGAGCAGCAGGAAAACACCTTAAACCGACATTCCAGGCCCTCCCTGGGTCGACCCAAAGCTCCTTCCGAAGATTCACAGCGCTGGAACAGATTACGTATATGAAAGTAATTGCCCTTCTGCACAGCCTCTCCTCCTCCCGTAGAGTCCATGGGTCAATCATTCCGGAAACACTTATTAGGCGCCTTCTGTGTACACTGACTGGTGTTAAGTGTGTAGTTGTGTATGTGAGGGAGGGCAGCAGGTGTGTGGATCCATGCAAGACCTCCGCCCAGAGAGAAGTGCTAGAGGAAGGGGAATCAGTGCGCTGAATAATCTAATAATTTAAATGATCTAACACCGCCTCCTTGCCTCCAGTTCCACTACTTTAGACAGACCAGCTCCTCCAGCGGGGTCTTCTCTAGTTCTTGGACCCCAATTTGCATTGATCAGAATTCTGGCTCTGGTTTTTTGCTGTCACCAAACCCTTGGCCCTCTTTCTATGGAGAAGGAAAAAAGTACAGCTCCGACTTCCTCCCACTGGCTCCACATACGTGGAGTACGAACCTGCCGGAGCTGCACGTTGAACAAACACAGAAAGGAGACCCGGCCTGTACTGAATTGTGCCGCATCCCCAGTACAGTTCTCTTCAACCCACTGCCCCAGACACCACGATGTGAAAATTAAGAATCACCCCCCCGCGTAAAACACGAACGACGAGGATGGGATTCGAACCCACGCGTGCAAAGCACAATGGATTAGCAGTCCATCGCCTTAACCACTCGGCCACCTCGTCCCACATAGGGCACGTTCTTCCACATTCCTTTATCTCTCATCCCAGCGTGTTCCGGGACCCCTGCAGCTATTCCTCAATACAGACCTGATAAAACTTAGAGGGAGAGGCGGCGGACAGAGAGGGGCTTTTATGTTCCTTTCCGCCGGCTGCAGCCAGGAACCCGCGCCACCCTTCACCATTCTGCAGTCAAGTTCGGTCACAGTTTCTGCTCCCTGATTCTGGGGAGAGAGAACCGAGGTCTCAGGACGCACTTAGTCCGGGAGGTCGCGCACTGACTCAGAGGAGGGGGTGCAGGTCCCCCGGAACACAGCAGGCGCGGAGGCGGTCAGTTTCCAGCGTTTGCAAAGCGCGCGGCGAGGACCGAGGCTGCAGTAATTCCTCCCGGGGAGCAGGGGGCGAGCTGGCTCGCCCGAGGCCAGCACGGGCGGCCGGGTGGGCGGGGCTGCGCGAGGGGCTCGGCTCGCCTCGGCTCGCCTCGACTCGCTTCGGCCGCGCTCGGCAGGCTGCGGTAAATCCGGGCTTGCAGAGGCTGGCAGAGGCTGCGGCCCGGTGGTCCCTGCTGCGCGCCCCGAACCCCGAGAGCCATGCAGATGTCCTACGCCATCCGATGTGCCTTCTACCAGCTGCTGCTGGCCGCGCTCATGCTGGTGGCTATGCTGCAGCTGCTTTATTTGTCGCTGCTGTCCGGGCTACATGGGCAAGAGGAGCAAGACCAATATTTCGAGTTCTTTCCCCCGTCCCCGCGGTCGGTGGACCAAGTCAAGGCGCAGCTCCGCACCGCGCTGGCCTCTGGAGGCGTCCTGGACGCCAGCGGCGACTACCGCGTCTACAGGGGCCTACTGAAGACCACCATGGACCCCAACGATGTGATCCTGGCCACTCACGCCAGTGTGGACAACCTGCTGCACCTGTCCGGCCTGTTGGAGCGCTGGGAGGGCCCTCTGTCGGTGTCGGTGTTCGCCGCCACCAAGGAGGAGGCGCAGCTGGCCACGGTGCTGACCTACGCGCTGAGCAGCCATTGCCCCGATATGCGTGCCAGGGTCGCCATGCACCTTGTGTGCCCCTCACGCTACGAGGCCGCCGTTCCCGACCCCCGGGAGCCAGGGGAGTTTGCCCTGTTGCGTTCCTGCCAGGAGGTCTTTGACAAACTGGCCAGGGTGGCCCAGCCCGGGGTCAATTACGCGCTGGGCACCAACGTCTCCTACCCCAATAACCTGCTGAGGAATCTGGCTCGTGAGGGGGCCAACTATGCCCTAGTAATCGACGTGGACATGGTGCCCAGCGAGGGGCTGTGGAGAAGCCTGCGGGAAATGCTGGATCAGAGCAAGCAGTGGGCGGGCACAGCGCTGGTGGTGCCTGCCTTTGAGATCCGTCGAGCCCGCCGCATGCCCATGAACAAAAACGAGCTGCTGCAGCTCTACCAGGTGGGCGAGGTGCGGCCCTTTTATTATGGGCTCTGCACCCCCTGCCAGGCGCCCACCAACTACTCCCGCTGGGTCAACCTGCCAGAAGAGACCTTGCTGAGGCCTGCCTACGTGGTGCCCTGGCAAGACCCCTGGGAGCCGTTCTACGTGGCTGGAGGCAAGGTGCCCACCTTCGACGAGCGCTTTCGGCAGTATGGCTTCAATCGTATCAGCCAGGTGCTCTTAAGGGAGAGGGGAGGGGAAATGGGGCAGGAGGGATGGGGGCATCAGGGAGGTCTGGATGGAAAAGAGGCAGTGAGGCAGGAGGAATCATAGTTCAGGAAGTGGTTGAATGGTTGGAAGATCCATGGTGCCTCCAGAGGACTGGGAATGCTGGAGCAAGCAGGGATGCCAGTCTCTGCTCTAGGAATGTCATCACACTTCTGTCTCTCCCTCCACAGGCCTGTGAGCTGCACGTGGCAGGATTCGATTTCGAGGTGCTGAATGAAGGTTTCCTGGTTCATAAGGGCTTCAAAGAAGTTCTGAAATTCCATCCCCAAAAGGAGGCTGAAAATCAGCACAATAAGATCCTTTACCGTCAGTTCAAACAGGAGTTGAAGGCCAAGTACCCTGACTCCCCGCGTCACTGCTGAGCCCTTCCCCCACCTAGTCTGAGAAGTCTCAGACCCCTCCCTCCTTAGGCCGTCCCTCAGGCCTGACTGGGGTAAGAAATGTCACTCCACTTTACAGTGGTGGCTGTGGTGTTTGAACACTGGACTTGAATATGGGGTGCTGGGGTCAAGTCCTAGCTTAACCACTAACTAGTTGTGTGGCCTTGAGCAAATCCCGTTCTTTCCCTGAGCTTCAGTTACCCCGTCTGTAAAAGGGAGGTGAGAAATACCTACCTCACAGAACTGTTGGGAGGCTCAGAGGAGATGCTATATGTGAAAACACTCTGTAAGCTTCGTACAAATGTGAAGTATTATTAATATTATTACAGTATTATTATTGTTATTATTGTTATTATTAACAATCTTGGGTGGGTGGGCAGTAGGAGAGCAAAAACGTATGAATGGGGCAGAGCTGAGAAGTCAGTACTTAACAAAAGGGGCGTTTTGGAAAGAAATCAGATGAAGGCGTTGAATTTAGTTCTTAGGTTTTCGGCAGCTTCCTGGTAGTCTAGGCCTCCGCCCCGGGGGCTCTGAAGAAGGGAAAGGTCTGGTAGGTTGTGTGTGTTAATAGTCTGAATTTGTACCCTTGAATAGGCTGGGCTGGGTAATTTGCCTACCGACTACAATGTGTAAATAAATGTGTTGACACCTACAGTTGGCTTCATTACTATCCTGAACCGGGCGGGGATGGGAGAACATGTCGCAGGTTCTCCCCTTTTCAAGCCGGGGGAGGTGGCTGCAGACAGTGGCGCGCGGGCTTCATGGCAAAGAACGCACGAGGGCCTTTCCTGCCCGTCGAAAGCCTGTGTAAATTCGATCGGTTGCTATGGAAACCGGCCCGCGGTATCCCAGCATGCCTCACCTCCAGCTGCCCAATTGTGAGAGTTCCTATAGGCGCCTCCTGATGACGCATGCGGAAGTGCGGCCAGGCCCCCCCGCCCCAGAAAGAAAGAGACCGGCCCAGCGCTTCCGGGAGCCCCGCGGCGGCGCCCAGTGTCCGCATCCTCTGGCACCTCTCAGGGAGTTTTGGACGTGGTCAGAGGCCCCACTCCCCGCGGGTGCGTAACGCCAACTCTGGCGCCTGGTTTGCCCTCTCCGGTCAGTCGATCGGAACCGGCCCAATCTCCAGGGCCGAAGCGGAGACTTAACCGGCCGGACGCGTGCGGGGACCGCGGGACCAGAGCTGGCTGCGGAAGAGCCAGTGATTCTCCCGCCCGCGCCTGCACGTACGGCGATGGAACTGGGCGGGAAGCTCTCGGTGCGCCGTGGAGGGGCTGGGTTGGCTTCTTCGAGACTGGGGCAGGATCTTCCTTCTTAGGAGGCCTGCCCTCGACTTGCTCACTTTCTGAAAGATAAATTGCAGTGTGCACAGTGCCTTACAATTTGCTTTGCCATTCACCGCTTGCAGCCTTTACAACACTGAGAGTGGCGATGGTTATTCTCTTTTTATACCCAGGGTAAGCAGTAGACTCAGAGACTGCTGGAGAGACTTTTCCCCAATCCCTCACCCTTTCTGGCCCAGAAAGATAGGCCTTACTAGTGAAGAAGAACTGCAAAGTTTGGAAATTGAGGCAGGATGGGAAAGAGGCTGGTTTGGTGAACCGAGGCTTTCAGGCCAGGTTGAGATCATTTGTGAAATCATTGAGGGATGTTTTGAAACTTTGAGAGTGTTAGTCACTCAGTCGTATCTGACTTTGCGACCCCATGGACTGTAGCCTGCCAGTCTTCTCTGTCCATGGAATTCTCCAGACAAGAATACTGGAGTGGGTAGCCATTCGCTTCTCCAGGGGATCTTCCCCACCCAGGGATCAAACCCACGTCTCCTGCCTTGCAGGCACATTCTTTACCATCTGAGTCACTAGGGAAGCCCACTTTGAAACTTAGGCCAATTACTTTATTCGAGTACCTTTGCAGAAGCCAGGGGCTACTGAGAAGTAAAAGCCAATCCCTGCCATACAAAAGGTTTTGTTTAACTTTGTATGTGCAAATCCTCCAGTTATCAAATGAGTTGGTACAAATGGGTGAATAAAGCACATGTGCAGCCCTGCCCTGGTGAGGCTTACAAGCTGGTTGGAGAGACAGACATGAGAATGGGCAAATAGACACATAAATAAGTCAGGAAGGGTGACTGCACAGAGCTAAAGGACTACAAAGAAGCCCAGAGACGGTATCACAGTGAAACAGGAGCCCCCAGTAGGTAAAGAGATGATCTGTTGAGAAGACTGTTTATTCTTCCTCTTGGGTGATCTTTTGGCTGCACTTGGCACTGTCACTTCTTCATTCTGAAATTCTCTCTCCCCAACTTTGAGTTTATCCTCTTCCATCTCTTGCTAATTTTCTTCTTCTTTTGGAGGGGTCTCATCATCTGCCCCTTCGGTGACCCTGGAGTTCCATCATGAGCCCCTTCTCACTCCACACATTCTGCCTTGCTGGTTGCACTCTCTCCCAAGGTCTGAAGAACTCACTATATGTGATGACGAGATCTCTACAGCCCAGATTTCTCTCTGAGGCTTAGACCCATGTGCCCCCAATCCTGCCCTTTCTCTCCTTTCAGGGTCTTTGCTCATGCCACTCACTCTCCTTAGAATGCTTTCTCTTCCTCACCAGCTCAGCTCCTGGGTCTGGCCCATCTTCCTCTACAAGCCCTCACTCTGCAGCAAGCTCCACGTTTCAGTTAGCTGCCTCTCCCATATGCCACTGGAACTTCTGCTTCCGGGCCTCTCTGTCCTAGGAACTTGTAAACTCCTTGAGATCAGAGACTCTCTGTCTGCCACACTTGAGCCAAGCTCCTACCATCGTGTCTGATGGTACCTAGCATATAATAGATTTTTCAATAAAGATTAAATCGGTGAGTAAAAGAATGCTTAACAGTGCTCTTTGCTGCTGAGGAGTCAAGATAGGCACTGAAAAATATTGGCATTGGGCACGAGGAGGTCATCTGTTAACTACAGGATCAGTTTCAGCTGAGAGTGATGCTACAGAGACAGATTGGAACAAGTGGAAGGTGAAAGAGTAGGAAGGGCAAGTGTTCACGAGACGTTGAAAAGATGGGAAATGGGTAATTGAGTGGAGTAGGATGAAGTTTTGTGTTTCTGCTTTTTCTGTATGTTGGGAAATACCTAAGCATGTCTAAAGTTTCCTAAGAGCTGCCAAGAGGGAAAATTGAGCATGCAGAAGAGAGTGGAGAACTGATGACGTGGGGTCTTACTGGAAGCAGAAGGAGACAGGATTTGAGCATAGCGAGAGGACCCAAGCATTGTAGAGTGGAAAGAGAAGTGGAGGGCTTTATAGGCAGAAGGAACAGCACAGTGGGCAGCAGGGGCTGGGGAGGAAGTGCGTGGTGTATTTGAGAACTGGCCATTAGATGTGGGTGAAGGAGCTGGACAGTGGTTCAAGTCCAGTCTGTGCAGGGCCTTGAAAGCCTGGGTCAGAAGTTTGGGCCCAGTCCTGTAGGCAGTGGGGAGCCCATCTTGGCCTTTCCCATTCTACGGATCATCACCTTGGCCAGTATTACAGAGATTGAGATCACCAACAACGTCCAAGGGGATGGGCATTTCTGGGGCTCCTAGATTTCCGGGAAATGTGTAGATGACTCCGTTTGTACCTGCCCCACCCCATGTGTCCCCGGGGCCCAGCGAGTCCAGTCCAGTCCCTCCCCTGATTGTCCCCGTCCACAGTGAAGCTTGGTTTGACTCCCCAGGTGACCACTTTGCCACTCGGAGCTGGGGGCAGGGGCGAGTGACGGCTACACTGATACTCCCAGCGCCCAGATGCCCGTCCAGCCTCCAAGCAAGGACACAGAGGAGATGGAAGCAGAGGGCGACTCAGCCGCCGAGATGAATGGGGAGGAGGAGGAGAGTGAGGAGGAGCGGAGCGGCAGCCAGACCGAGTCCGAAGAGGAGAGCTCAGGTGAGCCCCACACACCCTCGAGCGCCCTGCCCGCGCCCCCCTCAGCCGGCCCTGACTGGCCTCTTGTCCCAGAGATGGACGAGGAGGACTACGAGCGGCGCCGCAGCGAGTGCGTCAGTGAGATGATGGACCTGGAGAAGCAGTTCTCGGAGCTGAAGGAGAAGTGAGCGAGGGGCCCGGGGCCAGGCTTGCAGGAGGCTGCGGCGGGCCTGGGCTGGCCAGGGCTGGCTGGGGCCGGCGTGAGCGAGGGCCTGACCGGGGGCGCTGGGCACGTGTTCGGTGGATGGGCACACGAGCGCACGGCTGCCTTTCGCCTCCCAGGTTGTTCAGGGAAAGACTGAGTCAGCTGCGGGTGCGGCTGGAGGAAGTGGGAGCTGAGAGGGCGCCCGAATACACGGAGCCCCTGGGGGGGCTGCAGCGGAGCCTCAAGATTCGCATTCAGGTGGCAGGTCTGTGGCCCGTCCTGTGCCCCGCCCCGTTACGAGAACCCACGGCTCTCTGTCGCCTTCCCCTCTCGCCCCTGCCCTGGCTCGCCTGCCTTTGTGGGCAGCCAGGGCCCTGGCCAAGCCGGGCCGCCCATCGCCCTCCCTCCGTAGGGATTTACAAAGGCTTCTGTCTGGACGTGATCAGGAACAAGTATGAGTGTGAACTGCAGGGAGCCAGGCAACACCTGGAGGTGAATGTGGGTGCGCCGGGTGGGGAGGCGGTGGCCGCCCCGCCCCGCCCCTCCCCGCTGAGCCGCGGTGCCTCTTGCAGAGTGAGAAGCTGCTGCTCTACGACACGCTGCAGGGCGAGCTGCAGGAGCGGATCCAGAGGCTGGAGGAGGACCGCCAGAGCCTGGACATCAGCTCTGGTGAGGCCAGCAGCCGGCCGGCACCCCTGCTTGGCCCTATGCTTTCAGTGCCCGTTGCCTATCTGGGCCTCAGCTTTCCTGCCTGCTCGGGGGTGCTTGTAAGAGGACCTGCTCCGCGGTCACCGCAGGGACTGATGGAAAGCAGATGGGGAAGGGCCTGGCCCAGTGCCTGGCGCACAGTGGCAGCTCAGGGGTCCCCCGCCCCCGTGCTCAGTTTCCTGAACGGAGGTATCATTCCGACACACGTGCACCTGCCATGGCCACCGTGTCCGTCCACACCGGGCACTGGGGAGGGAGGGGTTAGTGGTCTTACACCCCTGTCCATGAAACAGCTGAAGAAGCTGAGGTTCACAGGAGTACAGTGACCTCTTTCCCAGGATTGAACTCGGCTTCCAAGCCCAGGCTTCTCTGCACTGCCCTGGGGAGGCTGATGGGGACGGGCTGGCCTGGCCCATGTGAGGGATGCGGGCTGCAGGGGTGGGGCGTCCTGGGAGGACAGCACCCCGATGCTGACTCTGCCCTGGGGCACAGAGTGGTGGGATGACAAACTGCACGCCAGAGGCAGCTCGAAGACATGGGACTCCCTGCCGCCCAACAAGAGGAAGAAGGCGCCTCTCGTTTCCGGTATCCTTCCCCATACAGTGGCCTGAATTGGGCAGGAGGTCAGGGTGGAGGCACACGGGAGACAGAGGCAGACCAGACTCACTTAAGGTCATCTGGCCTCCTGTGGCCGTGTACAGGCAGATCCAGCTGTTGAATTTTCTGCAGGGTCCTCCTGGGCGGTGTGGACCATGGGAAAACAAGCATTCATCCAGAGGTTTTCCCGTGGTTTTCTGAGTGAGGCCTCCTCTGAGGCTCTTCTGGCTTTCTCACAGTGTCCCGGGCACATCCCAGGCTCTCCCAGCCCCGTACCTTTGCTGACTTTCCACTCTCTTCTTGGATGCCTTTACCTGTCTGCCTGTTCTGTTCCCATCAATTGTCACCTCCTCTGTGAAGCCTCTCCTGGTTTCCCCGACAAATGGCTGTGGCTTCCCTTTCCTCTGCACCCCTGTACCTGAACTGGGGCACCTGCCTCCCTTCTGGACATAGTCCTCTCTGCCACACCCCAGGTGTGAGCCCCTCTTCAGGGCCTGCTGTGCCGGCCTCCCCTCTCGCATAGCCGAGCACGGAGTTGAATTCTTGGGTATACACACCCCTCCAAATTTCTGCCGCAACCAGATTATCAGGAAATTGACCTCCTGGTGATGGGGATCAGATTCAAGCAGGGAGGGAAGAATCTGGACTACAGAGACTTGAGCGAGGGTGGAAGGTGAGGGTGTGGAGACGTCAGGGGGACAGAGTGGCTGTTCCTCAGACGGGGGTGTGAGACCGATGGGGGGTGGTTTTTAGGACAGAAGAGATGAGAGTCCCTGTGTAGGTGGGAAAGGGGCCAGACGAGGGAACAGGGGGGCAAGATCCCTGAGTGGGTGGCCTGGGCCTTGGCCTTCTGACCTTGAGGCCTGAGAGGAGGTGAGGAGGGAGCCAAGGGGTGGTAAGATTGGGTCTGGAAGCCCTCTGTGGACTGGGTGAGATTGAAATAGGCCATAGCCACGAACTCCACCCTGCTGAGAACCCAGGAGCCACGAGGTCGGAGGCGCAGCCTGAGTGCTACCCCAGCTCGGCTCCCCACCCTGCCGTCCATGGCACCATCTCTTCTGAGTGCTGGCGCCCCCACCTACCCCCTGGGCCTGGGGCCCATCCCCTGCCCCTTCCACCAGGCTTCCTGCTTCCTTGACCCCCATCGCAGGCCCCTACATCGTGTACATGCTGCAGGAGATTGACATCCTGGAGGACTGGACGGCCATCAAAAAGGTGGGTGCAACTCTGCCTGCCACAGGGTGCGGGCTGGCAGTGTGGCGCCCCCTCTCCAACCAGACCAGCTTTGGTCTCTGTGCGGGCCTTCCCCTGGGGAGCTCTGTTGTCAGCCCCCGGCACCCACTGCCTTCAGCCCGGGTTCCCTGGCTTTGCTTGGTCTCCCAAACCTCCTTTTTTCCTCAGCCCCTTTCTTGTTCCCAGGCAGATTTTGATGGGCTGGGAGGAAGGAAGGCAGCCAGGCTGCCTGGGTCTCTGACAAGAGAGCATGTCCATCCTTTGCCTAGAAGGGGCCTTAAGCTCCCCTCAGCCCCTGTGTGCAGCCCCCACCCCAGAAAGGCTGCTGTGGAGGGGGGTCTTAGCTGCAGGCAGCCTCTCAGTGGGCTTTTCTTACCCACCCAGGCAAGGGCAGCTGTGTCCCCTCAGAAGAGAAAATCAGATGGTAAGAACCACCAAAGGTGTCCCGCCTTCCACCACCCCCTCCCCCAGGCCAGCCTCCTGGAAAGGCGCCGGGTGGGAGGCGGGGGCATATCAGATCCGTTAGGATGCTCTGGGTCTGAGGGAAGCTCTGGGTTCGAGGTCACGGTGGGGATTGGGGTGGGGTTGGGGCCAGGTCTGGTTAGGGAGGATGGAATGCTGAGCCTCTGTAGCTGGCCCGGGGGCCCGGAGAACCAGGAAGCCCGTTAGTAAGGGCTGTGGAGCTGCCCTGCCCTCCTGGCCTCACCTGCCCTGGGCCGGACTAAGGCCACTCCTCTCAGTCCCCTGTATGGAGTGCCTCTCTTCCTCTTGGTTTGCCTTCCTCTCACCTGCAGTGATTTTTCCCTTCCTGTGTACCCTCAGGACCTTGATTGACCCTGCTCTTCACAGCCAGGGGGGCCCCTTGGAGCAGCTGGCACCAAACCCAAGACTTGAACGTTCCTGCTGCAGAAAGGCAGACCGGCAGGCCCCTCGGGGTCTGCCCAGCCAGCTCTCCAGTGCTGCTCCGGGGTCCTCCGCTCCAGCCATCACTGATCTGGGCTCCCCCTCTGCCCTCCCCGGGGCCTGAACAGGGAAGGCCTGGGGCTGCCCGAGGCCAGCCGGACGGTCTGCTCCTTCCCCAGCCAGCCCACCACCACCCCCTCCCAAAGGTCGCCCTCCTTGGAGCCCTCCCTGACGAAGACGTGCCTGTCTTAAGCCAAAGCAACATCCTTTCTTCTGACCTTGGACCCCAATCACTGAGCTGGGTCCCACTTTGCAGGAACTCTGAGCCAGAAATTATATTTGGGGGGCCTGCGTGTCCTGGCTGTTGCTGGAGGTGACAAGGCAGGCTCCTCGGGTCTTCCTTCTCAAGGAGGTTCCTGGTATCTGCCTCCCACATTTCAGGGACTGGAATTAAAACCTCTCCTGGGACTCTGGCATGACCCACATGTGTCTAATTTACCTTGCAAGGGAATCAGGGCTCTCATGGAGAGTGCTTGAGACGGGCAGTTTCTGCTGGGGGCCTTGGTATCTCCAGTGAGCAAAGCCTACCCCCTCTGACTTGGGGTATAGGCTGGGGAAGGGGGCATTCCCCCACGCATGTGCTCCAGATGTGCGGGGCTGGGCTCTGGACTGCCTGGTGCTGGTGAACAAAGTCTGAAGCAACTTGTGGCACAGGCTGATCACGTGGCCTGGGTGCTCCGTGCCTAGAGACTGGATCATGTCTGCACCTGCCCCAGTCTCTTGGCAGATTGGCAAGGCGGGCTGGCAGAGCCTGTGTGCGTGGGAGGCAGCCAGCAGCAGCACCATGTGCTGACGACCTCACAGCCAGACTCCCCCCTATTTAGCGCTGGCTGTCAGAACCACCCCCAGAACCTCCACTTAGCGAAGGGGTTAGTTTCCATGGAGACACAGCATCCTTTCTCCATGGCAACCTGAAATCCCCGAAACCAAGTTAAGCTCAGGCATGAGTCATCTGTAGCCAGTAGGGGGCACTCTCCCAAAAGGCTGACCTCAGGGCCAGGGACACATGAGCAGTTGACCACAGACTTGAAGGTGCCCCAAGGGCGAGGCCTGGAGAGACCTTGGCAGGCCCTGCTTAACTCCTTTCTGCCCACCTGTGCAGTTCGAGGAGTCTGGCAAGGCTGCAAGACACGCCGTGTGGAGGTGGCAGCCCCGCAGGTGGAACCCTGGGCAGGCCACCTGCATGGAGCGGATCCCTGCCCCCAGAGGCTGGGCCCAGAGCAGAGGAAGTAGGCACTGCCCGGGCTGAGTGGACACACAAGAGTTAACTGGCGGGTGTGACAGGGCGAACCGCCCTCAGGAAGTGTTACTCACCACTGGGAATGTGAGTGCTCTCGCCTTGGGGGCTGGCTTCTCTGAGTCCCGGGAGAAACCGAGAAACCGGAGGAGCTCCCTGCCATGGAAACCCCCGGGGAGCCAGGAACAGGCCCTCTCGGAGCCCCCTACCCAGCCAGCTTCGCTTCTGGGCACCTGGAGAGAGAAAAGTTAGTGAAGTTGGAAGGGCAGCCCCGGTGGGGTGGTGTGGAAGGTGGGGAACCTGAGCTGGGTCTGTCCCAGGGCAAAGGAGGGGGAGACGGTTGGGCAAAACCCTGCTCAGATCTGGCGCCCCCGCCTCCCCTCTCCCCGCCAGGCCAGCCCAGGCCCCGCGGTACGATGTGCCTGGTGCCGGCGGGGTGCAGACAGGTGGATCGCAGCGGCCGGAACGCACCGTGAGCCTGCGGGAGCGCCTGCTGCTCACCCGGCCCGTGTGGCTGCAGCTGCGGGCCAATGAGGCCGCCGCGCTGCACGTGCTGAGGACTGAGCCCCCCGGGGTGAGTCTCTCCCCACCCCTGGGGCTGGAGGCTGAGGGCAGGGGGGCGAGGGGCTGGACACAGAGGCCTCGAGCCTCCGACCCCTGTCCACTCGCAGACGTTCCTGGTACGGAAGTCTAACAGTCGCCAGTGCCAGGCCCTGTGCGTGCGGCTGCCCGAGGCCAGCGGCCCCTCCTTCGTCTCCAGCCACTGTATCCAGGAGACCCCTGGGGGTGAGAGGGACTGGCCCGGCCTGGCGGGAGGGGCTGGAAGCATCAGGTCGGGGTGCAGGGGGGTGCCCCCAGAGAACAACCTCACTTCCCACCCCTCAGGTGTCTCCCTGGAGGGCTCAGAGCTCGTGTTCCTAGACCTGGTCCAGCTGATCTGTGCCTACTGCCACAGCCGGTGAGCCTGCCTCCTGGGCGCCTGAGCCACAGGGCCCTGCTTCCCTTCCCGGGACACCTTGTCCTCCTCGCCCAGGGGTGCTCCCGGTGCCCGCCACCCAGAGCTTTCCTCACTGCCCACTTTTTGCTCCCCTCTGGCCCCAGGGACATTCTCCTCCTCCCGCTTCAGCTCCCCAGAGCCATCCGCCAGGCAGCCACCCACAAGGAGCTGGAAGCCATCTCCCATCTGGGCATGGGTAAGGGCTCCCGGACTGCCCACTGCACAGATGGACAAGCTGAGGCCAAGAGGGAGAGGGAAGGCGAAGGCACACAGCCCGAAGCCTGGGCCTTTCCCCCAGTTGGGTCCCCTCCCTGATCCCCTCCACCCCCACCCCAAGGCCCTACCTGTTTCTCTTTCCTAGAGTTCTGGAGCTCCTCCCTCAACACCAAGGCTCAGCCAAGCTCATCGGAAGGCCCCCCGCTGCCCCGGCTGAAGCCCCGGCCCCCACAAGAGCTGGACCAGGGCACCGGAGCCGCCTTATGTTTCTTCAACCCCTTGTTCCCGGGGGATCTGGGCCCCACCAAGCGGGAGAAATTCAAGAGGAGCTTCAAAGTGCGTGTGTCCACGGAGACCTCCAGCCCCCTGTCTCCCCCAGCAGTGCCACCTCCCCCAGTCCCGGTGTTGCCAGGGACAGCCCCCAACCAGACAGAAAGCTTGCCTCCTCGCCAGCTGCTACGGAGGGAGAGCTCGGTGGGGTACCGTGTGCCAGGGGGCGCCGGCCCCAGCCTCCCACCGCTGCCCTCCCTCCAGGAGGTGGACTGCGCCTCCCCCAGCAGCTCAGAGGAGGAGGGGGTGCCAGGGTCCCAGGGGAGCCCAGCGACCTCACCCAACCTGGGCCACCAGCGGCGGCGGCGGCCCCTGCTTCGGTCCATGAGCGCTGCCTTCTGCTCCCTGCTAGCGCCTGAGCGGCAGGTGGGCCGGGCAGCTGCGGCGCTGACGCAGGACAGACACACAGCCGTGGGACAGCTGGTGCAGGACCTGCTGACCCAGGTGCGTGCCGGCCCCAAACCCCGGGAGCTGCAGGCTGTCCGCGAGGCCCTGAGCCGGGCCCGAGCCATGCTGAGCGCGGAGCTGGGCCCGGAGAAGCTGCTGCCACCAGACAGGCTGGGTGAGACTCCAGCCCGGGGTCCGCCGTGCAGCCCCGTCTCCAGAATTCAGCTCTTCCGCCTTCCGCTCTCTCTGCCTCTCCAGGGCCGGCCTGTCTCCCAGTCTGTTCCTCCGTGTACACCCCCCTTGTCTCTGCACCATTCAAGCAACTGCTACCCACCGCCTCTCTCCCAGTCACAAAGATTCCTCTTTTTCACCCCTCTCCCCTCCCGATCATGCCCTTCCTCCCCGGGACTCCCACCCCGCCCCAGTTCTTCTGACCCCTGCCTGCCTCTCCCCCACAGAATGCATCCTGGAGAAGTCGCTGCACCGCTCCGTGCTCAAGCCCCTGCGGCCCATCCTGGTGGCCCGCCTGCGGCGCCGGCTTTCAGCCAACAGCTCCCTGGGCCGCCTGGCTGAAGGCCTCCGCCTGGCCCGGGCCCGGGGCGCTAGCGCCTTCGGGTCCCACTTAAGCCTGCCCTCCCCGGTAGAGATGGAGCAGGTGCGTCAGAAGCTGCTACAGCTGCTTCGCGCCTACTCACCCAGCGCCCAGGTCAAGCGGCTCCTGCAGGCCTGCAAGCTGCTCTACACGGCCCTGAGGACCCAGGCAGGTATGCCCCCTCCCACCACCTCCCACCGGCCCCTGCCAAGTCAGAGGCAGGCCACCAGGCAGAGGCTCTAGGAATGGCACAGCAGGGAAAACAAAGAAAAAAAAAAAAAATATATATATATATATATGGATGGGTCCAACCTTCCCATTTCACTGATGGTAAAACTGTGGCCAGAAAGCAGAGCTTCCACTCCCCATCCATTGCCCCTGGTTGCCATAGAGACCACGTTGGCAGGCAGAGGGAGGGTCGTTGTCTAAGATAAGTAGCAGATGATCCTGACCCTGTGGCCTTGTCCACCACCTACAGGGGAGGGCGCAGGGGCTGATGAGTTCCTGCCGTTGCTGAGCCTCGTCCTGGCCCACTGTGACCTTCCTGAGCTGCTGCTGGAGGCTGAGTACATGTCAGAGCTCCTAGAGCCTGCCCTGCTCACCGGAGAGGGTGAGGGACCCCATGGGCCCCTGCTTCTGTCTGGGTGGGGCTGGGGTGCCCTGACTGTGCAGGGGGGAGGCAGGGAGGAGCGGTGGCTCACACCGAGCCTGAGCCGCAGCCCTCCCCTCGTGTCCCAGGCGGCTACTACCTGACCAGCCTCTCGGCGAGCCTGGCCCTGCTGAGTGGCCTGACCGAGGCCCACGCCCTCCCCCTGAGCCCCTCGCAGGAGCTGCAACGCTCACTCAGCCTCTGGGAGCAGCGCCGCCTGCCCGCCACCCACTGCTTCCAGGTAACGGACTGGCCAGCCTCGGGGGACGCCCAGCGTCAGCTGGCACAGTCTCCTCCCTCGCCCAGTGAGACTCAGGAAAGACGTGGAAAGGGGAAGGGCAATCTTACTTCATCAGGCGACAGACAGCGCCCCATATGGAACACACATCCGAGCCAGCCTTTCTAGATGGTGCATTCCACCAACAGACACGGCTCAGTGCTCTGGCGGCCCACAGGCTTCACAGAAACTGAAGTGGGATCATTATTATGCCCATTTTACAGATGAGGAAACTGAGACATGATGTGGGAAGGGAAAGGGACACAGGCAGGCTCAAACCCCAGATCCTGGCTTCCGGCTGCCACCTGGACTCAGGCTTCCAGCCCATGCCCCCTTCACCCTCACTCCCTGCCCCTGTCCCCCCACCCCACCCCGGGCTCAGGCGAGGTGTCCTAAGAGCCAGAGAGTATCTCTGCCATTCACCTCCTTCCATCCAGTCAAGGGACCCTTCCTTCCTTAGCCTTGGCTAAGAGTCCAGATTTTGTAGCCAGATCCTGGGTCCAGATGCGGGCGTTTCTGCTTTCTGGCTGTGGGAGTTTGGGCCAGTTAGGTGTTCTCTTAGTGCCTCAGTTTTCTTGTCTGTAAAATGGGGTAATAGGACCTACATCCTGGGGTTGATATTGGATGAAAGGGGTTAATTCAGAACAAGCGCTGGGGGCACAGGGTAAGCTCGACCTGAGTGGGATCGATAGGCTGTAGAGACCTGCTGGGCTGTCCTTCCAGCCCGCGGC